TCTCCAAGGCAACCTTCGCCCTGCCAGCAGCGAAGGAAGAGAGGTATATCCACTCCTTTGTCTGGCGAGGGACACATAGAGAAACTCGCAGTAGCAAAGGCAGGTGCACCAATTCAACTTCACTCTCCTTCCTAGGCGCCGCCAGGCATAACAACACCACTTGACTTTGTGGAGGATTCGGATCCAAACTCGCATAGCGACCAAAATCTTCGCCACTCTAAACTGTCAGAACTTCAGCATTCTCCAGCAAAGTTGCTTTCAAAAGCTCTTTCTTTGAGATTGTTAACAAAATCGGCGAGTTCTTCACCTCAGTTCGGACCAGACTCTGCACCTCCGGACCCACAGCGACCACAAAGCATGTCTCACATAATTTGCCCCATGTCGGGAGCGATTGATGGCAACAAAGATACACCTTTACCTCTATTACTGTCACCTGAAGGTCCGCCTTTTCAGCTCTTGCAACCGCTCGATTGTTCACGGATCTATTTCCAAGCCCAAGGTCACCGACAATTGCGCTCGAGAGTGAAGATCGAGTGACCACTAGTAGATGCAGTAACATGGACAACCAACAAACGGTGCTCAACAGTCAATACGCCCTGTCTGCTTCCGAAGTCTTTCCGTCAACAGGTCAACAGCACGGTTTTACCATCAGTTCCTTATACATCAAGGATATTACCAACCATTGAGCTCCTCTTTCCGTGCTTGAAACAATCGGGTTTGGAACAAAGGAGAGAGGCGGCGCTCTTCAAAGCGGTGCATTTGACGGGTTTTCATTTAGCAGAGCCAGGAAGGCGATGGTCCGATGTGGCTCGACACGTTGGTGCCGTTCAAAAAGATGGGTCTCACGTAGGGTCTCACGTAGGGTCTCATTTGGGAACAGATGGCCGCCCGGGATTTTTTCAGACTAGTCGGCGTGGGTACTTGGTAAGTCTGATCGACCATTATCTCGATAGTAAAATCGTAGCCGGCATTGCGATCTGCTCACCATTTCATCACACTAATAGGTCGGCAGTATTATGATGAGAACAGAGTTGAGAAACTATCCTTATGGCCAAAAAATGGGGTTGCGATCGGCCTTACGATACGGGGTGTATCAAAAACTGCAAGCGTTTGTCTCTGTCACTTAACGGAGGCGCAAATGAGGCTATATTCGTTATTATTGATACCGAATCTTAGTTTACTCCTTCCGCAGCTATGCGATTCATGATGGATTATGGAAGAGACATTCCAATTCGACGTATGATTTGAACTACAGAGCGCAACTGCGGATCAAGTGGGCTGAACGGCTCTGGAGAGGCCAGCCTCTAGACTTAGTTAATGCATACTTCGGGGAGTGGATCGGGATATATTTTGCGTGGCTGGGTCATTACACTAAATGGCTTTCGATTCCAGCGGTAGTCGGAATCGCCGTGTTTGCCTTTGGCATCACTAACGCTGCAAGGCAAGATCCAAAAACTTACACATGTTTTATGAGCTCCGTTATCTCTTCTGAATTCTCGAAGTCTGACGCGCGCTTTGCTTCAAACAACAGGTTGAAAAAATTAGATGCGACACCCAATGCCCTCTTTGCACGTTTTGACGATGCCGTTCGCCTTGTTCGTCCACGGTTTACATCGAGTTTTAGAAACGAGCCAATCAATACTACGCGTGCCAATGGAACATGAACGATTATGAGCTTGTGGAACGGAGTTCAGGGCAACTAAAGTTCGGTACTCGCAAGTCACAGGCAAGCGAGAACTCTACTACCCAATGTACTGGAAAGCTCTGCGTATCCTAGATAGTTATTGCGGTGCTTCTTGCGGTACGTGAGTTGGGCTATATAAGCGAGCCAGAAGATCTTTCAAACTGGATACGGTGATGTTGGATGTTATATATGCTCACTTGGATCATGTTTCATGTCTTCACAGGTCATCGTTGTTATTGCTTCGGTCGCATGCCTCATGATCTTTAAAACCTGGTGTAGACATCACATTGGTGACCAGTACGCGACGGTCATAGCCACTGCCATGTTCAATTTGATTATCATTATTATCCTTGGGGAGGTACGGCCCCACGTTGCCTGTGATTCGAGCAGTTCATTCCTTTGACTTCGAATATTTGATATAATCTGTCTAATTTTGCCTGATGGCCGTGTTTTTAGATCTGGTGCCGACTTGCAGAGTGGCCAACCGACAAAGAAAATCTCAAGTACACCGATGCATATGAAGGTAGCAATGCTTTTTGCTCCAGACTGACAGAGGCGTCGCCAAAGCGGATGTGTAATGTCCGCGAACTTAAAAACATTAATAATTGCCTTCGCGCGATCCCCATAGCCTCATTCATCATCAAGCGGTACCTGTTTGATTTCATAAACATGTACGGCACCATGTTCTACCACGCATTCTTTAAAGCACCGGTAAATATAATGGCCTTTTTATGGGGGAGACAGCACTGATGACTCTATATCGACATTTTTTTCTTACGTCAACGTTCGTTTTTTGAGGAAAAATCTTTCAACACAGAGAAGATCTGCAGGACACGTGCCAGTACGATGCATGCATCACAGAGTTGACGGTGCAGCTGGCAGTCGTGTTTGTCGGTAAACAGCTCTTGAATGGACTCTTTGAAATGGTCTTTTCGTAAGTCCGTCAATCTTGTGCATGGTTATGGTATTCTCCAAGGAAAAATCTTTAGGACTTCAGTTACGCAGTTGGATAAAGCGGACGTGGAATAGGAAAAAAATTCTTGCAGACCAAGCGCTCAAGAGACGGAAATTTTTGGAGGCCCGGAAAAGGACAAGAGCTCCACAGTGGGTTAAAGACGATGACTTCCCAAGCTACGAAGTCAGCATCCTGAAATGCTTTCGCAAATCTGGTACGACGCTCACGGGGTTTCTGGCTTCGGAAATGAATCACTGACAGTATAAGTTTTCTAATGATTTTATCACCAAAGATCTTAGTCATTCAGTTTGGGTTCTGTACCCTGTTCGTCACGTCGTTCCCAGTTGCACCAGCGTTTGCACTCATCAACAATCTAATCGATATTCGTATGGAGGCGACCAGGCTGCTGACGCAGTACCGTAGGCCAGTTGCTCTTCGCGCAAAAGACATTGGAATGCGGGAAAAGATTATGGAGTTTGTATCGTTCATATCCGTCATCACCAACGCCACGATCATCGCGTTCAGTTCCCTGTGGGTCAAAGAACACATCTTCATCGACCACCTCCACGCGAACGACGACGGAGGACTACTGGCAGCCCGATTAAGATTCATTCTTGTCTTTGAGCACGTCGTATTTTTGTTCAAGTTCATTCTTCGCGCCTCTATCCCGAGTGTACCTCTTACTATCAAACTGGCTGTGCAACGCTCGAAGTACATAACGCGTGTTGCGAGCGAAGGTGTAGACTCTGATGTAGATGACGACGAGATTGATCTAGATTTTGACAGCGGCAGTCAATCAGACTACGAGGGCGATGATGAAGTGTCGGGATACAGCAGCGCATCCGCATACACACCAGCGCGCCTAATAGGAACACTAGAGGACGATAGAAGGCGAACAAGCAAGCAAATGAAGCCATGCAACGAAAATGTTGCTCTTGCAGAGGATAGAGTGACGGCTAAGGAGCCAAGGAATGGTCTTCGCTGGCTATGGAAGGAGAAGATTCTGAGGAAGATTTCGCCCAAAAGTCCTCAGGAGAACGAAGCGCAGACTACGTCTGTCGCTGGCAAGATATAGACGCCATTGCCGAAGATCCTGAAGGACTCTCTTGAGAGCACAACCAAGGAAGTTCAGGACCAGAAGCTACCAGTGATCAATACTACTGACCAAGACGTAGACTCGCGACCAAATCACAGACATCATCATCTTAGGCCCTAGGCGCCGTTGCCACCAAGGCTCCAGATCGATACGCGGCAACCACACGAGTGCCACCGCCGCCGCCACTTGCATCGCTCCTCTCCAGTCTAGAGAGTCGCCACGCGGAGTGAGGCTGGATTGTGCTGGACGAGTCGCGCACATAATAGGGTGAACAAAGAATAGCATCAATTGGTGAGTACTGGCTGGTGAACGCCTACTAGAGGATCACGGGCCGATGTGCGCATTGGAGAAATACTTCCAATTTATGTTGAGCGCCGTATCCTAGGATAGCGACTCGCAAACATCAAAGCCCGCTAAGATAAAAGCCTAGCCCTTACGGAGCTCTTCCTGTAAACCCTAGACAGCAATCTTAAGTGTGGACAGGCTAATTTTGCATGGCTCGCCATAGACTAATCGAGCCTGTTGTGTCCTACCTATCAAGATAAAGGCGCCGCGTGTGACAGCAAGGAAACCGATGTAGACAGGGTGAGCCAATCCATATAATTCTGCATCGTTAATGAATATGACTCTGAGAGGTTGTAAGGAGAGTAGAAGGAATGAACTGTTCGGATGACTCAGTCTGCTCACACAAATCCTATGTACTTAAAAAGCGAGTACCATTAGGCGCGTTGCCGAAGGACCGGAGAGCTTCAGATGTTATTGGGCGCAGCTCAAAAGGGGACCTTTTTTTTTTTTTTTTTTTTTTTTGATCCCAGGGCCATGGGACGCATTAGCTATGGTCTATGGACAGAATGCCCAATGTATTAAAGAAAATAAACAGCAAAGATCTAACGGCTGGAGTCGCCGTATCCTTCGTTTCATAAACCCTGATCGCAGCTAGGTGGCACTTAAGGTCCAACTCCCTTCGCCCATTTTTTTTTAATAACAACATGTCTCTCTGATTCAATAGCGCGACGAAAACAAAGCCAAAATACTCTGAAGATATTTGCGGATAATGTCCCCCTTCGCGATGAAGGTGCCCACCAACGCTATATAATCAGTCGCGTTCCCATGGGCTAGTCCAGTGGGGGGGGGGTTTTTTTTTTTTTTTTTTCAAAAACAAGGACCCGCAATGAGCACGTGATACTTAGTCGAATCGCGTGTGAAGTCACTGACTTGCTACAAGAATATAATATTCCTGGACAAACAGGTTTCATCAGTTACAAGCTCGCATAGCTTAGTCGGTAGAGCGTCGTGCTAATAACGCGAAGGCCGCAGGTTCGATCCCTGCTGTGAGCATTTTGCTTCTTTTGGCCGGTCTTCGCGTGCCAAAAACGTCACATTGGCGCGCGAAGATAAGCAGTAACCCATTCCTTCCATCTTCCTTGTTCAACTTCTTCCCATTCCTTTATTTTTTTTCCTTCCCTCGCTTTCAAATCCATTAACACCCACACGCGTTCAGTTCACCTGCATTCTACCCAATGACAGAGATTTCCTCCCTCTCGTCGCTCTTGAAGCGTCTTGAGGCCGCCACCACGAAGTTGGAGGACCTGGCTATGTCTGGCGCTTCTGCCTCCAACGTGTCGTCCTCGCTCACTGGCAACAGCGGTGCTCATGCGCCTCAGGGCCAGCTCTCGCAGTTGGCAGAGTCGGCTCCTGCCGGCGGCGCCGCTGCTGGGCAAGAGTCGAGCCATCCTCATGTCGAAGCTTTTGATGAGCTACTGGATGGACCAGTCAAGAGCTATTTTGAGCTCAGTAAAGCGGTTGGCGGTCTCGTCGAGGAGCAGGCACGTAAACCACACTTCTTTATATCGTACACTCGGAATGGCAACTGCAGCTATACTAATGAGTTCCTGCATATATCTATCAATTGACAGGCTAAATACGTTTGCAGCTTGTTTGCAGCTCAGCGCGAGATGATCTTGGTCGCGACCCTAAGCCAAAAGCCACCTCTGACGTCCGACGTCTTCCGTCAGTTGCTCGAGCCCACGCGGGTGGAGCTGAGCAAAGTGGTTGATGTGCGAGAGAGGAGTCGATCCAATCCCATGGCCACCCACCTGACTGCCGTTGCAGATGGTATCCCTGCCCTTGGCTGGGTTGCAATCGTACGTGTCATCGTCATGTCCTTTGAAAAGAAATGTTCATGACCAATGCACCCCCTGATGATACACAGCCCTGTTTTCCCACAGTTGGAACAGTGCAGATCATCATCATCTAATTTCTGAGGGCAAAGGGCTAATAATACATCTTAATTATCCTGGTTTCTTAATGCTCAATAGGAGCCCAAGCCTGCTCCCTATATCGGAGAGATGAAGGAGAGTGCCCAGTTCTATACCAATCGTATTGTCAAGGACTGGAAGGAAAAGTACGAGGTTTTGTTTTGTCTTGTTAACTGGGCACATGGTCAGATGTGCAAAAGCATGACTGCATCAGTATAGAAAGAGGGGCCAATGTTTTTAACATGTCTCTATCAATATCGCGTCCATAGGGACCAAAACCACGTCCTCTGGGCTCGCGCATACATGAGTCTGTTGGACGAATTGCAAAACTATGTCCGCAAGTTCCATGCCACTGGATTGGTCTGGAATCCAAAGGTATACCAACAAAGAGTTAGATGGGATCTCAGAGACTGTAGTGACGAGCCCTAATGACTTACGTTCCCACCCCCCCTTTTCTTCTACAGGGAAATACACTTGACAGCAACAACTTGAATCGTGCATCGGCGGTGGCTGCTTCGGCGCCTGCAGCCCCAGCGCCTGCGGGTGGCGGTCCACCACCACCACCACCACCACCACCACCGCCCCCACCACAGATGATGGATGCGCCTTCGACATCGGCTAAGAAGCCCACGGAAACTGACATGTCAGCCGTGTTTGCTCAGTTGAACCAAGGAGAGGCTATCACATCTAATTTGCGCAAGGTTGATAAGAGCAAGATGACGCACAAGAACCCTGAACTCCGTGCCTCTGGCATGGTTGCGGGCACCGCTGGTAAGTGCTGATTAAGGACGACATTAGAATAGCAGCCGTACGTTTATGACGATGACCAAGAACGAGAAGGCTGATATAAGGCGATTAATTTCCGATAATAGGCAAGCCAGGTTCGCCCAAAAGGGCTGGTCCAGGCGCACCTCCCAAACCAGCATCGCTGACACTGAAGAAGCCACCAAAGCTGGCACTGGAGGGCAACAAGTGGGTGGTTGAGAACTTTGAGAACAACAATGAGGTGATTCTGGACAAGGTGGAGCTCAACCACTCTGTATACATTTATGGTTGCAAAAACTCGACTATCCAGATCAAGGGTAAAGTCACGACAGTGGCACTGGATTCGTGCACAAAGACAGGAATCTGTCTCGAGTCACTGATCTCATCGCTGGACGTCGTCAACTCGAAATCGATTCAGGCACAGATTTTGGGACGGGCGCCGACTGTGAGTCTGGACAAGGTGGATTCCTGCATGGTGTACTTGTCACAAGATTGTCTGGATGTCGAGATTTTGACATCGAAATGCTCGGCGATCAATGTCCTTACACCAGACTCGACGGAGGCTGGTGCAGAGGGCGATTTTGTGGAGCGCGCGGTTCCGGAGCAGTTTTTGACCAAGATTGTGAATGGCAGGACCGTGACAACAGCTGTGGAGCACTCTGGATAGCGGATACCTAAGACAACAGGCTAGCTACAAAGTAGGCCGTAAGCGAGATCCAGTATGGCAACAGCGCCGTCTGGCACTTGGAAATAAAAATAACAATAAACCCGAAAAAGTCGATTGAATGGTCCACTATATGGAGACGGCATGTCAACCGTCTTACGGCAGAGACGGCGTGACAATATCCCCGTTGGAATGGGCTCTCCCACTCTCTCGTAAGAAATTTCTACTCATTTCGTGTGCATCCCCTGTGCGAAAAACTCGATCATATTGCGCACATTAAGCTGTGGCACCTTGGAACACCCGACACTTGCCTCCGTTTTTAGGTGTTGCTTTGAATCAATTGGTGCATTACCCATCTTGTCTCCCATTTGTCCTGTCTTTTGCATTCCAATAACCATTGCCCTTTTATTTCAGTGGCACACAGCACAGCATATATTTGACGCACATTCCAAAAAAAAAAACCCCAAAAAATAATAAAAAAAAATGAAGGCACTGTCATTCCTCTCCTCTCTGCTCATCCTACTCCTCGCCCTCTCTACACAGCAGCATGCCGTCGTCCATGCAGGCACCTACTCCTACACGACCCCTACAGGAGGAACACGCTGGGTAACAGGTCAGCTTGGCCTCGTCGATATCGTCCTGTCCGACAAATCAACCAATACGGTCTCCGTCACGCTGCAGAGGCGTCAGTCCGATATCTTTAACCCGAGCGTGACAGTGGCGACTCTCCGGGACCGCGTTCTGTTGGTGGTTCCGGCGGGTGCGACTCAGTTGCAGTACAACATTACGGACTTTGTGGTGCCAGCGGTGCTGACTGCAGGGACCAGTTACTTTGTAAGGACGAGCTACTCTGGGTTCTTGGGTATTGCTCAGAACAGCGATTCAGCAGACTTTCAAATCGTTGCCCCAGGTAAGGACGAGCGAAATATATTTTTTTTCCCAAGAAAGTGAAGGCGTAATAATTGGGACCCAGCACAGTTGCTCTAACACCTCTTTCTGTGTCTGTCTTCTACTTTCTAGCAAACACGACTGTCCCAACCTCGACTGTGCTGTCAACTTCGACACTCCTCCCAACCTCGACCACACTCCTCCCAACCTCGACAACTTCCACCACACCTACACCGACGCTTCCCGCGGGACAGACCTGCAGTGATGTCCAGGAACAATGTGCGGCTCAGGGACGTGTCTTCCAGAACACAACCGCAACCTCGCCCTGTGCATGTGGCGCTACTTTGGTCGTGCCCACGATCGTTGGAAGCAGTGCCCCCGGAAGCATCAAGTCGACAGTCAAGAGCTCCTTCCAGAATACTGGCGGACCCACCGCCGCTTTGGCAGTCTTGTTGCTTGTCGTGATGACCATGTTTTAAGTGGCGAGCGAGATAGAGAGGCTGGGATCACATCACTCACTAAACACCAGACATAAAACATCAAAACAACCCTTGTAACAATAGTAATAATAAAAAAAATGGATCTACTGGGGAAAACTGCAGCCTATGGCACAAAACCTCAAAACCTCGCTCCCATAATCAACAGGTGCATTGCCGTTTCGTCAGTCTACATAGTAGCCTAGCGTACTTTAACCCAAAAAAAGTATTGACAAAGGGGAATGTTTGTTTGCTTTGGTGTCAAAATTTTAATTAAAAATTCTTTTGTGCTCAAATGCATGCTATATTTGACAAAACGCACCTGCTTATTGTGGCAGTGAAGAAGAGTAAAACGGAGGGAGACAAGAGTACGCGCACTAAGACTATATATTCCATCCGCGACTCAGGTACCCGTCACGTTGGGCTCGTTTTGCAAGATGGTTTGCATCCGGACCTAAGTCCACCCAGGGCATTTCTACATGTGCCCTCAGGACCATCTTGCGTGCAGCCGTTTCTGGATCATCGAACTGTCCATGTCCTTGGCTATGTCTCCACGAAGCATCAGTATGCTGATGAGCATCACCAAATGGTTCGTCGAACGGATAATCCGGTGACGGTGGGATGTCAGAAGAAAATGGGTCTTGGTGGCTCGATATCAAGTTCAGACTCATGCCCATAACCTGCAATCGATCCATCTGCTGTGCAAGCCGTATCATCCCTGGGACGGTCACCCGAGGATTATCTAGGACTGACAGCTCGAACAGCTGGGAGCCCCAACGACTGTCATCCTCCTCAGCCCCGTCTTCGCCAACATCTTCAGGGTTGTTGTCATCATTCTCGACAGAGCTGCTGCGTTCGCCGTCACTGTTGCGACTTCTACTGTGAGCTGGAATGGCGTCGATCATTTTCTGCAGATTCTGGTCGGTGATTTCAGGCCAAGGTCCTCGAAGCATGACGCGCCTCACTGAACGTGAAGCCACCATTGGGAGGTGTGCCAAATCATACCTCATCAGACCTCCGCCGTAGTGGCCCAGATCGCTCACTGCTTTATAAGAATGTCCTCTCGCAAGCCAATCAGACGCCTCAACCGCGATCGTGAAACAGAGCGTGCGTAGATCGGGCATATGCCGAAGAGATCCAACATTAAAATTGGCGGCAATAGGCCCTGTCAAGTCCAATACTGTCAAACAGGGGACATCCCACCGAATCAGCAGAGGTCCTGAGACGATCGACGGGAGACCGTTGTAGCAATCTTCATCATCCATGTCTTTTGTCGTTGATTCATGA